CCCCAAAACCCCAAAACCCCAAAACCCCCATAATGTAATCAAGTCTAAAAATTAAAAATCTAGTTTAAATGTGGAAAAATAAGTTGTCATTTGTGAAGGACTTACTTAAGTCCCTTGCCTATAGCTTCAGAGATATTTTATGAATTTTTGTTAGTTTATTTTCTGGCTGAACTGTTTCTTTTGCTAAAAAATATCTTGTCAAGAACTTAATCTTGGTTAAACCTGTCCTCCAACTCAGAACCTTCGTTATCACTTTGAACTCCAAGCAACTCCCCAGATATTGACTAATTTTTGTTAATGAAGTGTCTTCGGTCTTTTACTCTGCTTCCATCTAGATCTTCAACACTAACCATTGACCCATGACCTCCCTTAGTGAGTAACTTCCTTCTATCTCTTTAGTACTCTTTAAACTTATGCTTTATTTGTTCAAATCTATAATTAGGCTTCGGACTATCTTAGTCAGATTCTATCATTCCTAAGATTTTCTGAGTAACCTCTATCTTCTGATTTTCTCTTAACAGATACATCTCTAATTTTCTTTTTTCATGCATGTAAGTTGTCTTCAGCTGCTCATTCTCCACATGCATTCTGACTTTTCTTCTTAAAGCCTCCCTAAATCTATGATATAATTTTCTAGTAGATTGCTGAGAGGATGTTTCATTCTTGGCTTCCAGTTCTTTACCCTATCCGCTACCTTTTCTAGGAAGTGGTAAATGCACTTGAGTGTTTAAAGAGTCTAAGTCTTAGAAGCCTACAAATGAGTCAAAGCGATCTGAATTTTTAAGATCCATTATTTGGTCCATATTACCAACAGATACTCTTGCCTAGGATATAAATCTCTTCTTAATGTGTTCTTTCAATCTATCTGGCACTTCTTATTTTAGTTGCTCTACCTCTTGTTTCAGTTAGTCAAGAGTCTTGCCTTCTTAAGTAAGCAATTTTTACAGCTTGAATTCAATGATGTTTACACCATCAACTCATTTCTTTGGATCAGGTGACTCATCGTATCCAAAATCTTCAATTAATCCTCCAAATTATCCACCCCTTCTTCTTTTTTAAACGTTAATTGACTCACTTTATTCAATCTTATTCTTAAGTTTCGCACTTGTCAGCTCATTCAGATGCCTGAATAATTCGACATTTCCCTTGAAATTCTTTGGGTCTAAGAGTGATGTTTGCCTGTGCTTAGCTTTTTTACTTGGACTGTTCCCTTATTGAATGGGCTTACTTTTTCTACGTTCTGGGCTGTTTCTCAGATCTGTTTCTTACCTTCGAAGTTTAGACTTTTTAGTCATATCTTTCAAACTTGTCTCTATTATAGAGAAAAATGGGAGATTATCAATATTTTCAACTTCAGGGATAACGCATATTTGGTACTGCTTAAGCATTTCGTATAACTTCTAGTTCCTCTCCTTGTAACCCATTTTCATAAATGCATCATTGTCAATATTATACTTTGTTCTTATCAATTCTTCAAAGTCCTCTTCCTCCTTTAACTACTACTTTTGCACCAAATCATGAACTTGTTTCTTTGAAATTAATGGTGACATTGTGTTAGAATTCTACTTATGAGATATATTCTTCTAAACTATTAAAGAAGGCAGTATTTTCGCTTTGTTGGCAGTAGAATTTTTGTTAGTTTTAAAACTTCCACTGTCAAAAGTAGTCTTAGCTAAATTACTATTGAGTTTAAGTGAGGCGTTTTTATCAAAACTCTGGAATCTCTTGTCTCTCTCTGGTCTTTTGAAATTACTAGAGGAAGTGTTATTCTATGTGTAGTTCTTGTTGACATTAGTCATTAGATGAATTTCCTAGGCGTGATCATAGGTTTAATTAAGATTACGATTCATTTTAGGTAAATTAAATAAAATTAATTAGATTTTTACTCATTCTTATAACCAACAAAGCTCAATGTCTTTATTTATACAAAAAGAACTCTGAATAATTTGAGAGTATACCTGGCTCATCTTTTAGGGAACATTTCTTTTACAAAATCCAGAGTTTGAAAGCTAGAAATTTGGTTGTTTTTAACTACTATAAGGTATTGCATCATTCTGTGCTAATGGTTAAAGATATGATTCAACCTCTTTTTGCATTTTTGTCTATTTCACTTCAATTTAATTATCTTGAACAATTGCTTCATTTAATGTCTAAGAACTCTATTTCGAATTAAACTCTTTCTTTTGAATTTACTTTTTAATCTTTTTCTGAGTATTAATGTCGCTGAATTCAATGTTTAAGTCGACTTAAAATTGTTTTAAGCTATCATTTTAATCTTGTGCTATCTCCTCACTTTAATTTACATCTTCTTACTATGTTAGAGGCAGTTAACATTGGTTTTATGAAATTTAGAAATCACTAAAACTGCTATTTTGAGTTAATGCTCTGCAATTTATATATTCTAATGTAAAGCTCGAATTTGTCTCTTACGAATAGATACTTTCAATTTTCTTTTTAATCTTTTTAGTTGTTATTCTTTTATGCTTTTTCTTCAATTAAATCTATTATTAATCTTTATTTCGCTCTTTTTCTTCAATTTTTAGCTATGATAAACAGCTCTAGTTGTCAGTAAATTAAGAACTCATAATGATAGAACTCAAATTATCTTCCTAAACACTCTCTTCCTTTCCATTCTAAAGTTGAGTTTTTCTTAAGCATTTACTTTATCTCTTTTTCTTTTTATTCGAGTTTTATGTATATTCGGTGTCAGTTGATGTTACTTGCGTAGAAGTAGATTCTTGCTATGAATAAGCTTACTTAAGTTTACTTTCCTTACCTGTCTACAAATCTTATTTTTATTTTCTTTTCATTTTCTTTTTGCCCATCTTCTAGGTTTTCTCAATTGAAAATATTATCTTTCTTTAAGTTTTGTCTTCTGTGTTGAAAAAATCATCAAAAATTGTGAGAATATGTTTGTTTTATTGATAAACTTTGAAATTATTCTACATCGACATTTATGAAAAATTTGTATGATTTCGAGATTATTAACTACTACAAGAAAGAAGAGCAAATTCCATATTATATAAAATTATAAACACAATTTAGCCTAGAATAATTTTAAACTCATATTCTTATCTAGTTAAATTTTCCATCAATTGGGGTTTTGGGGTTTTGGGGTTTTGGGGTTTGCTCTTCTTTCTTGTAGT